TTGGGGCACCAGTGCTGGGGCTGCTCCCTTGGCTCTCTTCAGACTGTGCTGCCATCCTTGGCTGCTGCTGGGCTCTGACTGCTGCACAAAGGTTCCCGTTCTCCCTAAACTCCAGTTCAACTGTGAGTGCTTGATCTATGTAGAATTGGAATGGAATTTGACTTGAATAGGTTGATAAAGGAGAAAGAAAGGAAGAGAATTGTCATGGTATGTGGGAAGTGACAGAATTGCTCTCAGGTAATTGAAGTCCTCTGGTAAAAATGGTGCATATTATGAAGGCTGTATCATCAGCATATATTGCATCCAAATTAGGAATGTTTGTAACAGTTGATAAATACAAATGTCAAAATAACTGCAAAATGCAGTTTGATTTAAACAGCATTAGTAACATTGATGAATATTTTTGTATAACTTCTCAGAAATTACTTACTATGAGAACTAACGGAGAAAATTGATAACTTCTGACCCTTCTGCCTCTCTTTTAATCCTCTTCCTAAACAAAAATACTAAATTAAAAATTCTCTGTGTGTTTCATTAGAGGAAACAATTGATGGAGGAAAGGAAATGGTTAAAGGCATCTTGGAAGATGTGGTCCAGTCGGCTGTGAAAGGTAACAAAGTCTTCTAAAGTAAAATAGTTGCATGTGTATGATTATGCTAGAGTGGAAGTTTTTGTTACTAAGTACCTCCACAAGAACGCCTACTGGGGCAGCAACATCAGGTTTTCATTGTATGTTCTGCTGCTGATAGCTGAGAAACTTCCTAGTTTACCTGTGCTGCTTCTGTCCCACTCGGTGGTAAAAAGTCAGGGGATGGAAAACTCTTAATGTGTGTTTTTAATAATTTTTGTTTTTCCCTCTTTAGTGGCTGAAGAAAAACAGGTAACAGAACCAGTCAAGGCTCTGCCTGCATTAGAGACAGCAGATGCTCTTCTTTCTGACTCCAGCAATGAAAATGTACAAACAAACGGCATTCCAGATGATGGGCAGTCTGTTTCCTCCACTGATAATCTGGTAAATAACTGCACTGAGTGCCAATATCCATCTAGGAATAGAGAATGTTTTTTCAGTGTGCCAGCTAATACGGTGKGATTTGGCAGAAGAAAGGAACAGAAATATCTGTGTCCTGTTCAGGTTCAAAAAGGACACAACAGCTGCAATTTAAGCATATGTTGAAAATACCTGTTCTTGATTAAAAATTTATTGTATTAGCTGTATTTCGATACAGAGTGGGGACAGAGATAAAGGCTCAGTCAAAGTCAGTCAACCTGTGTGAAAAGATCCAGATCCCTTGTAATCCTGTTCAGGGTTGTTTAAACTTTGCCAAATGTATTATTTTCTTCAGTCTGTTGCTGATTCTCAGAGGAGCTGTGGAATTTCCTACTGGCTTTGTTTTTTGTCTCACTGAGGATCTGTGTTATGTTTCTTACTCTCAAGGAAGCAGAAATATCTGGACATCAAGCTGCTGCCAGATTTTCCCATGTTCTACAAAARGATGCCTTCCTTGTGTTCAGGTCATTGTGCAAGCTCTCCATGAAACCGCTCGGGGATGGACCACCAGATCCCAAGTAATGAGATTGTGTTTATTATTCTGTCCTCTCCAGGCAGCTTCTGGAGAAAGTCCAGTAGCTGCTGTATAATCTCTATAAAGCAGGTGTTSAAAATTCACTTGTCAGACCCTTGGTTTTGTTAGCTTGATGAATCTAGGATAGAAAATAGCTCCAAATTATTAAAAATTTAATACTTGAGGTTTTTGGTTTTGGCATAATAGGTTTATTAATCTTACCAGTTGAAGAGGCCTTGACTATAGTATTTGTGAAGCTTTTGATGGGAGAGTGGGAAAGTACTTAAGTTGCACTGAGCTGCATCTATTAGGCTGGTCTAAGAGTTAATATTACTGAAAAGATTTTCAAATTTAGTTGGTGGATGGATAAAGGTCATTTGGCTGATTTCCATCCCTCTCTCCCCCTGCACTGGAGTGAATTAAAATAGCAGACATTTCTTCTTGATGTGAAAGACATGCTGCAGTGCTAATGTTGAATACAAGAATATGCTAAGAAATATAGAAATACACTTAATGTTGATTTTTTTTCTAGATCCCATGAATTGCGTTCCAAGGTTGTGTCTCTCCAGCTGCTTCTCTCAGTGCTGCAGAATGCTGGTCTGGTTTTCAGGACACATGAAATGTTCATCAATGCAATCAAGCAATATCTTTGTGTAGCATTATCTAAAAATGGAGTCTCTTCTGTTCCTGATGTGTTTGAGCTCTCTCTTGCCATCTTTCTCACACTGCTTTCAAATTTTAAGACCCATTTAAAAATGCAGATTGAGGTGAGACACTTTTAATTTATAATTTGCATATGCTGTAGTTCTCAAAATACTGTAATGGTAAAAGGACAGCTGGAACTTATGTTTTAATGTCTTAGTTGGGTTTGCTTACTAGGCAAACCACTTATATTACTACTGTATCCAAATTCTAATATGCATGAAATGTTACTCTTCAGGATAAATTATCTAACAGAAATGAATCTGTACATTGGATGTGGTTCTAGTAAGTTTCAGATTGTCAAGTCCTTAATCTTATTTATTTTGCAGGTATTCTTTAAAGAGATCTTTCTGAATATTCTAGAGACTTCTTCAAGTTCCTTTGAACACAAATGGATGGTGATTCAGACTTTAACTAGAATTTGTGCAGGTATTTCCATTGTATGAAAGAATCTTCTGACAGCAGATGAAAATTATTTTGAAAATGCCACATATAATATTGAAGTATGAAAATTTGAATTCAATCCCAGAGTGCTTGGGTTAAATGTCTGGATTCATCCGCACTACCTGCTCCTACTGGCTGATTTACTTAAAAAATGCTATTCACAGAACCTTAATACTTCCATTTTCTTTTATTTTCAAGATGCCCAGTGTGTAGTGGATATTTATGTTAACTACGATTGTGATTTAAATGCTGCTAATATATTTGAACGCCTTGTAAATGATTTGTCCAAAATTGCACAGGGACGAAGTGGGCATGAGTTGGGAATGACACCTTTACAGGTAAGGAAAACAGCTTTGAAGATGAGGTTCTATTGTTTCATAAACAGTGCTGTTTCTGCCTCATTGTTAATACTTCCAGTGGTTCATGTTGTCTGTAACCTACTGATATTACCTGCTTTTTATTAGTTTGCTAATTTGCAATTGGATGCTGAAGCGGTGCCATTAATTTACTTGGGGGTTTGGCTGCCTGTTTGTTCTGTGAGACCAGGCTGGTTCTGGTCTCTTTAGCTGGACTGCCATGGGAGGGAAAACCAAATGAGCCTTCCTCTGCTTCACTCGGATGAATTCCCTTCTGGAGCTCATGCAGACCTCATGCTCAAACCCCCTTCTGTGGGGTTTGTTTTGCACAGACTTTGTACCATATCTCTACCCTAAGAATTTGATTTTTAAGATTATGCTTAAAGGGAGATTGGTGTAGAGACTGTTCTCAGTACTGTTTGTTGGTCTGGTTTTTCTTGTTTTAATTCTTTTTGCATATTTTAGGAACTAAGCCTGAGGAAAAAAGGACTTGAATGTTTAGTTTCTATTTTAAAATGTATGGTAGAATGGAGCAAGGACCTTTATGTGAACCCCAATCATCAGACTAGCTTGGGTAAGATTGTTTCCATATGAAGAGTCTCATTTGTTTTATCAGTTTGTTCGTGTGTTTGTTCAGTGTTTAGAAGCTATTCAGAAGTGTAGAGCCAGGTTTGTACCTACCAATCTGTTTATACAAGTGAGGTATTTTACAAACAGTTGTTAGTGCTGTTGCAGTAATCAATTCTCCAAGGGTTTCATTTGAATAACCGGTCTCTGTTGATGACCTTTAGCCAGACCCTTGTCTACCCTATAAAAGCTCACGTAGGCAAGACATGKGACCATTCTTGGGGTTACTAAGTTGAAGTAGTGGAGTTTCTCCATAGATGTTACATCTTTTCTGCCTTTTGTTGGATTATTTTAGAATTGCATCAGCAGAGCATCTTCCTGTAGTGTAGTGCAGACTGCCAAGAAGTATACACAGTAAAATAAGAATATTGACTCATAGATTTCTGCGTAAAAGTTCTGTAACTAAAGGCGCTTGATTGAACAAATATAACTTAAATCTGACCTTTTTTGTGAATAGGTTCATATAAACCATCTGAACAGGAASTGGCTGAAGGCAAATGCTTGGAGGCTGGAGGGAGACGGAGTAGTGTCAGTTCCTTGGACTCCACTGTGTCCACAGGAGTTGGAAGTGTTGGTACTCAGACTGCTGTCCCAGATGATCCAGAGCAATTTGAAGTCATCAAGCAACAAAAGGAAATAATTGAACATGGCATAGAACTGTAAGCCCAGTATGACAGGAAAACTAGAGTTCACTAGTAATAAAATATGTTGCTTCTTACGGTCTTACACAGTCACACCTGTAGGGACATTACAAACCGATATTCATGCTGAACACTCTTGCCTGCTGTTGTCACAAACCAGTGCTGGAGCTGTTATAGTTAAAAGGAATTTCATAAAATSCTGGGTGGAGAGGAAGGTGTTTTCACTGCTTTCCATTTTACTGRCTCAGCTCACAAGAGTATGTACACCTAGAGAGAAATTGGTTTGAGAAGCACAGTTGTCTTGCAGCTCTTACGTGTTTTATTGTCTATTACTGAAATAGGGTTTGGAGAACTAAATCATTGTCCAGCTATGCTTTACTTCTTTTTCATTAATTTGAAGATCTTCATGTCTGTAAATGCTGGAAAAAGGTCGTCAACAGCAGCTTTTTTAAAATTTCATGAAAAGTCTCTAATTTTTAGTGTTCAAAACAGTGAGTTTTGAGGTGAGTTTTGCAGCAATAACTTCTATGGTTATCAGCAACTCAGTGTACCTTATGAGACRGAGCCTATGGTGTGAAATAGGTAATAGATCTGTTCTACATTCTTCGACTTTTTTTTCTAACTAGAAAGAAACTACTTGGAGCTACAGCACAGAACTTTTGATTTATAACGATTTTATAAAACTCAAATTTTGTAGGTTGTGATATTTTTAATCATATGTCTCAATTCTCTCATGTTTTTGTCTGAATAGGTTTAATAAAAAGCCTAAGAGAGGAATTCAGTATCTACAGGAGCAGGGAATGCTTGGCACTACAGCAGAGGACCTGGCACAGTTCTTGCACCAAGAGGAACGCCTGTGTTCTGTAAGATTACGTGCAGCTCAATGAACACACTTGTGCCAGTCCCTTCAGCCCTGTCCCTGTGACTGTGTGCATCCTCTCTGTAGTTCATGTCCTAGAGAAATGTATGAGCAAGGCTTCTCATGGCTATGCTTAATACAGAAGCTGCTTACTGTTTCTTTGCTATCCCAGGCTTCTTAGTGAAGTGCTGTGCTCCAGTAAAGCTCTGGAGGGTTCTCTGTCAGTGGAGTGACAGAGAATGTCAGCATTTTACCTGTCCCTGCATTAGCAGTACCTTGCCAGCAAAGCAGTGTGGTGTTGTGCAGCACCAGAGCATTCTCTGCTGCGTGTGCAGCTGGGCACACTTCAGCTCTCTTTGGCTCTGCTGTAATGCAGATCTTGCCTTTGGCAGGGAGGGCAGCAGGAAAATGCAGTTTGAGGGAGTGTTTCCAGTTCCCTGGCCCTTGGCACCTCCACTGCTCTCTGCCCCCTCAGCAGTGTGTCAGCATTCCAGAGCTGACAGCTCTGCAGCTCTTGGCCCAGCAACCTTCTGGCAAAGCTGGCACTTGGATTGCACAGTAATAACTGTCTCTTGTGTTTTTAGACTCAAGTGGGGGAGTTTCTTGGGGAAAGCAACAAGTTTAACAAGGAAGTGATGTATGCCTATGTAGACCAGCTTGATTTCTGTGGAAAAGACTTTGTCTCTGCTCTGCGAATATTTCTGGAAGGTTTTCGTCTGCCAGGTGAAGCCCAGAAGATTGATAGATTAATGGAGAAGTTTGCTGCTAGATACATTGAATGCAACCAACGGTAATTCAAACCCTTTGTATCAGAGCAGTGTCCAAAGAACATTCTCTGGCTGTACTGCTGTGGCATGGGRTAGATTAAGCTCCCACCAGGCCAGGAACTTCTGCAGGCTTGTGTGAAGAGCAGATCTTGCTGCTGTTATTGGACAGGATATATACCAGTGCTGTCATTTCCTTAAATGCTGAGTACCTGCCAAAAGGAATTACTGGAAGAGGGAAGGCCTAAGTATGTTAAAATGCATCAGCTAATACAGAGACAATTTTAAACAAATGTAGATCAGTTGAGTATAAAAAACTAATAAGCAGTAGAAATAGCTAGAATTAAAACCTCATTGCATAAATAGCTAATAGGATGTTACAATGCTTTTGCTTGCCTTTTAGATGTGCAGCAAAATTTGATACCAAATAGGCAAAGTTRCTATTATTCCTAAAGCAATAAGCGCTGAAGTTTAGCTACGTCAGGCTTAATTAGTTCACTCATTTCCAATATTGTGAAAATCATGCTCTTTTTCCCCTTTTTAATTTGTATTTTAAACAACTTGGAGCTTTATTTTATAATTTCTGAAGGCTAGCTTCAGGCTTTGTTAGCTCTTTGGTTGAATCCATAGCATATCTGGGTATTTTTCTTGCCTATGGAACTAGAGCTAATGGAATGAGGAATTGGGAGTCTATAAACCTGTTTTCTTTCCTCCCTCAGGCAAACACTATTTGCTAGTGCTGACACTGCCTATGTTTTGGCATACTCCATTATAATGCTGACTACAGACTTGCACAGTCCACAGGTAGAAATTCAAAATATCCAAACTTACAGAAGTCCAAATTTCCCTGGAACTTGCATTCAAAATCTGATATCCAATTTATTCCTTCTTACAGGTAAAAAATAAAATGACAAAGGAGCAATACATTAAAATGAATCGAGGAATCAATGACAGTAAAGACCTGCCAGAAGAGTATTTATCCACAATCTATGAAGAAATAGAAGGGAAGAAAATTGCCATGAAAGAGACTAAAGAATACGCAATTACTACCAAGTGTAGTAAACCAAGTAAGAAGAAACTGGAAGCTAGAAAGAGCACAGTGCTCTTGAACTATTGCAGGAACTGTGGGATGGTGTAGTGGTGTGCTGCTTCTTTGTGAAAATGCCTTGGTGCAATATTTCAAGTACATTTAGAGTGGCTGATAGAGATATTTGCAATGACACTGGCTCAGCTCCTACTTCCCACTGCTTTCTGTGGTGGGAGCAGCTGTGTTGGTGCCTCTGGCACTGCAGAGCAGTGCTGGAAACTACATCTGTTGGGTTTTTGAAATGTGTGAGGGGGAAAAGGGTGGCATAACTGAAGGGGGAACTTAGTGATTAACTTGTTTTTTATGTGCTAGACAATGGGTGAGGGCTTGATTTGGGCTGGTTCAGTGGCTGGGAGGTGTCACAATCCTTGTGATAGTGTTTGTAAAACAGAGAGGTAAGAGTTTGTCACGATCTATACTCACCTGTCCTCCTGCAGACCAAATGAGGGCTTCCTTGAGTAGCAAGCAGTAGAAAGCAGTATCCCCAGCTGTACCCTACTTTTACTCAGAATAACTGCTACTACTTTAATTCAAATTAGTGAATTCTGAATCTTCAGCATAGTGGTTTTTCCAGTACTTCATACTGTTTGCAAGTTTTCTCAATCAAAATAGGAACAAAAATAATTTGCTTGAATATTGAAATTGCACCCTGTAGCATAAGGATAAAGAAACACTAATTTACCATGTTGGTGAAGCCTTGTTTTGTTTTGGGGATGTGAGCCTAAGAAGATACAGGTTTTCCATCCACTTTTACAGGCAGAATGACTTCATAGGGTATGCATCCTTGACTTGGAACAATTAGGTAATGGCATGTGTTAAATAGTAAAGGGCTGAATTAGTTATTTTGTACAGAATGAAGTCTTAAGTTCAGGTGTGGTTTTTAGTGCTGGACTTCCTCACTTGCAACCTGGGGCAGCCTCCTGACTTCTAAGATTTTGCAAAACTTTTATCTCTGGATTTAATTTGCAATGCCTTTATTTAACATTTTGTGATGCTCAGTGTGAAGACATGGAATATGCTCTTGTAAGGAAAGCAAGCACTGTGTCTCTGTGGTGCTCCCCTTAGGTGTAGCTAATGAGAAGCAGCGGAGGTTGTTGTACAACTTGGAGATGGAACAAATGGCCAAGACAGCCAAAGCCCTCATGGAGGCAGTGAGCCATGCAAAGGCTCCTTTCACCAGCGCCACTCACCTGGACCATGTCAGACCCATGTTCAAAGTGAGTGGCCACTTCTCCTTGTTCTTCATTACAAAGAGTTTCGAGCATGGGAAAAAAGGTGGAAAATTATTCCAAAGAGTTTGCTAATGCAACAGGTAGACTCTTGGGACGTATTTGGCTTCAGTGCCTCAGTGTTTTGGACTAAAGCTGTAAGAGACTTCTGAAGCTGGTGTGTTCCTCTCGTAGCTGGTGTGGACCCCGTTGCTGGCAGCGTACAGCGTTGGTTTGCAGAACTGCGATGACCCCGACGTCGCGTCGCTGTGTTTGGAAGGAATCCGCTGTGCCCTCAGGATAGCTTGTATCTTTGGGATGCAGGTTGGTGCCACACTTAGGCTGGGATTTGCTAAGGGCTCTCTGGGCTCTGGGAGGCAGGTGAAGACTTACAAACACCTTATGGATAGAAGATGAAGTGTCTCATCTGCTTTCTTGAAATGATAAAGATCTTGATGTAATCAAGCTTTTCGTCAACTTTACTTTCCTTGCTGAATCTTCTATTAAGAGTGTTTGCTAGCTGGCCTCCTACTCTCCTTTAGCTGGAAAGTGCTCTGAATAATGCCAGCTATCCATAGAAGGAAAATTTGTAGGCAAGTTGCTTTCTCTGGCTCTTCAGGGACTTGATTTTGATGCTTGTTTCTCTGTCTTGCAGCTTGAACGAGATGCTTATGTACAGGCCCTTGCTCGTTTTTCCTTGTTGACCGCCAGTTCCAGCATTACAGAAATGAAGCAGAAGAACATTGATACCATTAAGACACTTATTACAGTTGCTCACACAGATGGCAACTATCTCGGGAATTCTTGGCATGAGGTAAATTTTGATTAGCTTGAATAGTGAATGTGCTGTCCTATTTTTTTTTTTCTACTATCAGCTTCCAGAGCTCTCTTGAAAATATGGAGAAAGTACATTATATTATTAAATTTTTGGGGTTTTTTTATATGTATGTAATAATAATGTGTTGCAATTTTTGGAGACCCTGTGGAAACCGTGTGACAATATTGTAATTTTTAGGTGCATTTGATATGGAATTTAAATGATATAAAAAAAACCTCATTTGGTTTCAGAAAATTCTGCATAGAAACTATTATATTCCTGTTCATGAAAACGAAAATATTCTAGCTCACAGGTCCAGACTTGTCTGTGCAATGTTTGGCAACATTAACACCATAAGCACATGAAAAATTAGAGTTAAAGTAATTTGGTGGGGGGTAGGTAAAGATTGGCTATCAGGTTCGCATGTATTTTTTAAAGTCTGTTTTCCAAGGGCAATTTTAGCAGCTCTCAATCTATGCTGCTGCTCAAAGGGGCATTTCTGCTGTGTTATGTTCTCTGGCACTAGTCTGGGGCTRCATGATGTTAGCCAAAGTGCTAGAAGTGACAAATGCCCTGGACTTGGCTCCAGCACACCCTCTCGAGTGCTGGTGGCAGCCAAGGGATGTGGCAGTGGCACAGGAAGAAGGAAGAGAGTGAATTTTGTGCCATGGCAAGCACAGCAACTCTCCAGGTTGGAACATCATTGCTCAAAGTGGTGGTAGCTGCAATGTTTCAGTCTTTTCATCTCTCTGAGACAATGAAATTTCTAGAAGATCAACTTTTTATAGTCTTGAAAGCTGTTGCRGTGAAAAGTAATAAAGAGGTTTCCTTTATTAGTTAGAGATTTAGTTTGGATTTTTGAGCATTATTTCTTCTTGTGTTGGAATGATTCATGGTGGCTGATGATACTGAATGAACCACTCAACTTCATTTTCAGTTTTATTAGTAATGTTTTAGCTCCATCAAAGCTGTTATCATGTTCAAAGTTATTTTAATGGTTGGAGAACCTGGGAAGGTCACAAATATTAAATACAAATATATGTTTGAAATAAAAATGAAATGGTGTCCAGAAACACAATGTTTAATTTCTTTTGGTTTTAGATCTTGAAATGTATTAGCCAGCTGGAGCTGGCACAGCTCATAGGAACTGGTGTGAAAACTCGATACTTGTCTGGTTCTGGGCGTGAGAGGGAAAGCAGCATTAAGGGCTATGCCTCTGCAGGAGAAGAGTTTATGAGCCTGGGATTAGGTAAGATTGTTAATCCTGGACTTCACAAAGATGCACATATAAGTGGGGTAAGGACTGTTCCAGTTCCTATTGTTTCTGCAGTATGTGCAAGAAAGAAACCTTAGATTTTTGGCTGTAAATGAGAGGGTCAAGGCAAGTTGCCTTAATCTTTGGAAAACCATTAAGGAAACATTTTAATTTTAAAAGACTCTGGAGTGGATGCTATACACCACGATTATGATGAATGCAGAACTGCGCCCAGCATTAACTACTTGTAGCTGATGAAAAGTTCATATTTTAAAATAATGTTTTATCAGTTCAAATTTTATTAACAATATGATAACATCTTACCCTAATTAATGTGATGTTTAACTGTGTAATAATCTGGTACAGATGTGGCAAAGGCACCATCTGCTCCATATAAATTACATGGTAGCTAGAAGCAGTAGTCTCTTTGTCTACTTGTTTGATGTTGGAGGTAATATAAAGTTGTGATTTCCTGGTGCCAAATACTGTTTTTGAATGGCTTTTATTGCAGGTAACCTCGTGGGGAGTGGGGCTGACAAACGGCAYATGGCAAGCATTCAGGAGTCTGTGGGGGAGACCAGCTCTCAGAGYGTGGTGGTAGCAGTAGACAGGTACTGAGAATGGAATCCCTGCAGTCTTATCTAAATGGCCTCTTTGTCTTCTGCCCTTCCAAAATGTTCTCTCAAGACACTTTTCTACCTTAAACCATATGTTGGAATGGGACTTCTTAATAATTACTGATASAATTGTGCAAGCCTGTACAATCATGTATTCAGACTTGCAGTATTTATTTGATGTTACCACGTCAAAGCCCGGATGATTTGGGAATGCTTTGCACTTATCAGTGTTGTGTATAGACTACTATCAGTAGTATGAACTCCTCTCAAGACTGAACTGCTGGAGGGGAAGAAGGAACAATGGTGCATCTATATCTTTCTGCTGTGTTTCGACAGCCACAGCCATCCATATTTTCAGAGCATGTAAAGATCAAAGGTGGCTGGTAACCTCTAGAGTCCTGTAGCAAAGCTTTCTTAATGTCTGTTTATTGTTCCCATGAAATTTAACATGTCCCCCAGATGAGTGTTCCTGCATGACTGGGCCTGGGTAAAATTGTGAGCCTGTGCCTGTTCCTACAGCTGGGCAGGAGCACAGCAGACTGTGCCCTGGTGCAGGAAAGAGGATGCTTAGACTGAGGAAAGGTGCATGTACTGCTGCCAAGGAACAAGAATAAAGAGGTGCAGAGTTCATGGCATGGAACTGTCCATGATGTGCAGATGTGCTGAGTTTTTACTGCGGCACTAAGGTGGAATTGCCTTTTGGGGATGTGCCGCTGGAGTTCCAATTCCTGCTTTGTTCCCTAGGATTTTCACGGGCTCCACGAGGCTGGATGGCAATGCCATAGGTAGGTATGGTGGGTTGCAGGGCCCCTGGCACTGGCAGCCTGGCTGACAGCAGCCTTCTCCCGTGCAGTGGACTTTGTGCGCTGGCTGTGCGCCGTGTCCATGGACGAGCTGGCGTCCCCGCACCACCCGCGCATGTTCAGCCTGCAGAAGATCGTGGAGATCTCCTACTACAACATGAACCGCATCCGCCTGCAGTGGTCCAGGATCTGGCATGTCATTGGAGATCACTTCAATAAGGTACTTTTGAAATCAGCTTATACAATGTGCATGAACAGCAGCACTTCTTTAATCAACTTTTGCCTTCCGTGTTGTTAGTGGTGTAAGCTCTGATATTGAAACATGTGCCATTCAAGGCCCCTAAAAGAAGCACCTAGTTAAGAATCTAAAGTGTACAAATAGAAATGTTTATGGGAGTGATCTTTAATCATATAATCTGCATGACATGATTTGGTATTTTTGTAATTTTTCTTTGTCTTTTCCTTCTGATCAAATGCCAAGTTAGTTTTCCTCTGCAGTGTACACAGGTGGTCCCAGAACATCTGTTTTCCTTAGGAAATTGAACCACGTTTGGATGGGATTTTTTTTAACCAAATAATTTGATTTATTTTAATTTTAGCATCTAGCTGGCTTTTATAGTTCTGCATTGATGCATTCATAATCATGGATCTGTTTAGATGGACAAAATGACAGAAAGCCCCCTTCAACAGGAGCCCTTTCTTTCCCAAGTGAAACTGAACCCTAGAATGTGCTAGCAATGTTTAGTGGGCTGAGATGGAACTTGAATGATGAATTTGTTACTTATAGAAATGACACATTAGCTGATAAGTGTTTGATAATATGCTTTTTGTCCAGGTTGGCTGTAACCCGAATGAAGATGTTGCCATCTTTGCCGTTGACTCATTAAGGCAGCTGTCAATGAAATTCCTTGAGAAGGGAGAATTAGCCAACTTCCGCTTCCAGAAAGACTTCCTAAGGCCTTTTGAGCATATTATGAAGAAAAACAGGTGTGAGGCACTGCAATTGCTGCTTTAGCTTGCTTTAGTTCCAATTAAGGATGTCACTTGGTGTGGGTTAGAGGGCCATGTGCAGGGAAGCAGGGCAGTTACTTTGTGCCAGTGTAAAGTAGTCTTGCTTTCCTTTTCTTTTTTTTGTTTAGATCTCCAACAATCCGAGACATGGTGATCCGCTGCATTGCACAGATGGTGAACTCTCAAGCTGGTAACATTCGTTCAGGCTGGAAAAATATCTTTGCAGTCTTTCATCAAGCAGCATCAGACCACGATGGGAATATTGTGGAGCTGGCCTTTCAGACTACAGCACACATAGTTAGTAAGTAATGCTTGACACACACAAATTAACTTTGCTGCTGACTGTCTGCTTTAAAAGACTTGTGTGTTGAATAAGGCTCTTGTATTTCCAGGCAGTTTAAACTGTGCAGCTGGGTCATACCTGTTAAGTTTCCTGAATGCTATGGACAGAAAAAACTAGATACATGTACTCTGCTGTAGAACTTTGGAATGCAGTTGGTGGGGTGGGGCAGGGAAGAATGCAGGAGAAGGCAAAGAACCATATTTAATGGAGCAGATCTGGTCCTTCCATGTTTGTCTGTTCCATAGCAGTAAGCTGACCATGGCTGACATGCCTAGRTTGATGCTGTTTATCTATGGATTTTAGCATCAGGAAATTTTAACAAGTGTATTTGTTTGTTCTTCACAGCAAATATTTTTCAGCAGCATTTTCCAGCAGCAATTGACTCATTTCAGGATGCAGTAAAATGCCTCTCTGAGTTTGCCTGTAATGTTGCCTTCCCTGACACCAGCATGGAAGCCATCAGGCTKATTCGCTACTGTGCGAAATACGTCTCAGAAAGACCACAGGTAGATTGAGTTTTCACCCTGATGTRTTTTCACACTTTTCTTCAACTGTTAAGGGGAGACTAATCAAAGAAAGAGCTTTCAGACTCAGACTTCAATTGCAAGTGTTTGTATGAAAAGCTTACTTGGATTGAGGAGAAATTTTGTATTATATAAGCTGTAAACTAAGGCTAAGTAAATGAGTTAAGTCTTCTAAGTCCAAATGGGAAGAAACTGAATTAAATAGTCTTTGTCTGGTTTGGGTTTTTTTGTTTTTGTGGTGTTGAGATGACCTGGAAAGCAGTGCTTCCAGATCAGCCACCCTAATTATGTCTAGTTCAGTTTGTTACGAGTCTGCATATTTTTCTACATCAGTCTATTGTGTGAGTACTGGATGTAGTAATCACTGGCTGAGGAGAGCCTGGAGTTACATTGTGGTTCCACGTCCCCACCAATGCTGCATTCAGTACCAGAGTAGTGCTGCACTGATCTCTGCCAATTTCAGTTGTCTGTCACTGTTAAAATTGCTTTCTAAGAAGTCCAAACCTCAGCAACTTTAAGGCCTTTAGCTGGACTGAAGTAAAAAATAGCTTGAAGTATTTATTTCCATGTATTATTTTATAGAATTTTTTATTTTTGCAAATAGTTACACCTCAGAGCTGTACTTACATTTTACAGGATTGGATTGTTCAGCAGGAACTAAGCTAACTTTCCAGGTCTGTCTGTACCACTAGTAGTAGTATCTAATTTGTCACATTAGTGTCTAAATTTGTCACATTAAATGATTTTTAATATAATTTTTTCTTTGAAATGTTTCTCTGCTGCTCTTCAAGGTGTTAAGAGAATACACAAGTGATGACATGAATGTGGCTCCTGGGGACAGAGTGTGGGTCAGAGGATGGTTTCCTATTTTATTTGAACTTTCTTGTATTATCAATCGTTGCAAATTAGATGTTCGTACAAGGTAATAAAGCTTTTCCTTTTTTCCTTTTATGTTTTATTTCATTTAGTACAAGATCACAGGAACACATTTTAACATCTGTTCCTATACCTGTTTGGGTTTGTTTATAGAGGCTTAACAGTGATGTTTGAAATCATGAAGAGTTACGGGCACACCTTTGAAAAGCACTGGTGGCAAGACCTGTTCAGAATTGTGTTTCGGATTTTTGATAATATGAAGCTCCCTGAACAACAAACAGAGGTAAAAACAAACAGAAAAAAAAAACAAAACCAAAAAGCAAGCATTTCCTGAAGCTGTCTTTTTAAGCACTCACACATCTGAGGCAGCAGTTGGTACTGCCATCAGRTATTGCCACCCCATACTGCCCCAGACGTGATTAAACACGTTCTGTGTGCCGAGTTCAGTGGCATGARTGAAACTTGTCACCGTGTCCAGTGACCTGTCTGTGGGTTCTGTCTGATTCTTTCCAAGGAGAATGTTCTCACTCTGTTGTGAACATGTACAGTTTTCAAAGTAGTGTTCGTGTGGCCAACGAGGCGCTTCTGGCAAGGCCTCTGCAGTCGTGAGGCTTTGGTTCTACCTGAGTTCTCCTCTCCTCAGACCTGTCTTTTGTTGAGCWGCCATGTATAAGCCAAGTGTTGTCATCATGGCAGAACTTCCATAAAGCCAAAGACTTTTCCTTTTCTGTCCCAGAAATCGGAGTGGATGACCACGACGTGCAACCACGCCCTTTATGCCATCTGTGATGTCTTCACACAGTTCTATGAAGCTTTACACGAGATCCTTCTTCCTGACATTCTTGCACAGTTACACTGGTGTGTAAAACAAGGTACCTTCTTTTCCTGTGTCTTTTAATTTAATGTATTTTTACATGTTCATTACTTGAAAAGGGGAAGGTTCATTGAATTTTGGAAGAATGAAAGTTCCCATTAGGACAATATGTGTTCAATAGATCGATGCAATATCTTGAATATTTGAACACCAATCCTTTATTGGTTCAGGTAACTTTTTTGTTACTGCGTTCATAATGTGCTCATGTTGTTAGTGTGACAAAGCAAAAGCTTGTGGGGAGTGGTGTCAATCTGCTGAGTCTTTTTTTCTCATATTTGCTTCCCCCACTTCTATCAACCATCAAGTACTTTAAAATACAACTTTCTAAAGAACACATTTCCTTTCTGGCTCCAACTTTTACACATGAAATTCTGCATTTTACTAGCTTGGAATGTCAGGAGACAGTCTTGCAGTAGATCATAAGTTTCCAGTTGCTGCTTTTCCTTCCTTTTTCTCATGGTGTGCTTTCACGCTGCTTCTGCCTATCATTCGTCTTCCCTGGCTGGGTTTCTGTCCCATGAAGGCTATTTTGAAACTTCCTTTTTATTCAGTAGGTTCCTCAGCTTCATGGTGTTGTAACATGTTGTGTAGGTGGACTTTGAGCCAAGACACTTATGTATTTCACAGTATTGGTAAAAAATTTTAATGGAGCAATAAGGGGGAATGCTTAATTTTTCACTGATATTGTAGAAATTGGTAAAAATGGAACATTTGTTTCACAGATAACGAGCAGTTGGCACGATCAGGTACAAACTGCCTAGAAAACCTGGTAATACTCAACGGACAGAAATTCAGCCCTGAAGTCTGGGCACAGACATGCAATTGTATGCTAGAAATCTTCAAAACAACTATTCCTCATGTGTAAGTTCGTAAGTTTAATTCTTAYAGTGATACCAAATTTCAGAGCAACAGTATTTACCTCTTCTGTTTTGTTGTTTTGGTTTTTGTTTTTTTACTCTGTGAAGCTTGCTGACATGGAGGCCTGTAGGAATGGAGGAAGATTCATCTGAAAAACACTTGGTAAGAATTAACTCAGGGCAATAAACTGACCTGGAGGGTTTTGTTAGGTCAGCTTTTGAAATATTCTGTGGTAGTCAATACATTTGACAAGGAATTGAGAGTAGATCATAGTTGGTGTTATTGTAAAAAAGGATTTAAAAAATGTATGCAGGAAGCCTTTGAATATAGGGCTGGGGATGTCATCTGAAAAGTGATAGCTAGCTGGGAGTTAGTGCTTTGGATTGCTGGAATTGCTCTGCATTTTGTTCTAGGACTTGGACTTAGATCACCAGTCTTTAAGCAGCATGGATAAAAATGCTTCTGAAAGAGGACAAAGCCAATATTCAAATCCAACAGATGAGAGCTGGAAAGGTGGTCCTTATACAAGTAAGGAAAACGTGCAAACTTTTTCAATGCACTTTTATAGCCAGGCTTAGTTCACTTCTGGGGTTTCCTACAGAAAGTTTTGGGGCAATTACACTTGAGATAAGTCTTTGCAACTTGAGTTTGTGCCTTGCAGAGAGATCTTCTCTTTAGAAGATAATTTACAGCATTACTAAATATCAAATTGTTAATGGGAATGTCATATTTTGCCAACCTGTTGTAAGTGAATTGTCATTAATTGCTTCTGAAAGTTGTGTTGCTTCATTTCATTAGACCAAAAGCTATTTGCTGGCCTCCTGATCAAGTGTGTGGTACAGCTGGAGTTGATACAGACCATTGATAACATAGTGTTCTATCCAGCAACAAGCAAGAAAGAAGATGCTGAGCACATGGCTGCAGCTCAGGTACCAGCAGATTTCCTTGTAATCTTGTTGTGACAGTAAGGTACAACTTGAAGTTGAGCTTCAGCAAGGTCAATGGTCAAGATTTTGCTCATTGCCAGTCTTAGAGATGTCCATGTCCCTGAAAGTTCTGATTCTGAGCAATAGTGCACAGTAGCACTGGCTTGGATGTTAATAAAGCCCTAAGCTGGAAGTTTTGGCTAGTGCATTGAGATAGTGTTTTGGGGTGGTATAGTTAAATTCTTAGTGAAATTAGCAAAAAATATTGGCCAATTTAATTAAATTTGACATGAGCCAAAGATGGGGAATTTCTGCACTAGGCAATATTTAAACCTGTACTGTTTTTGTAGTTCTTTTTGATCTTTTTCAGAATTCAACAGACTTACCCAGTCAGCTTCTAGAGAAGAGAAAATGCTCTGTATTGTATTACTGTCACTGCAATGTCTTGATAAGGGAGTTCTTCCCTTGCTTTTGAGTCTTATTTTCTTATCAGTAACTAGGATAGTTCATAACTCGTCTCTTCTTAAGTACCCTACTGAGAAGAGTGCAGCTGATCTCTGACAGGACCACTCTGCTGCATTGTGCTGCACCAACACTGCATTTGCAGCTGCAAATGGAATTAGGAGTTACTGGAGTTTATGGCATGAGCTCTCTCTCTCTCTCTCTCTGTGTTCATTTCCCCTGGTCTTTAGCGAGACACAYTGGATGCAGATATCCACATTGACACAGAAGACCAAGGAATGTATAAATATATGTCTTCACATCACCTCTTTAAATTGCTGGATTGTCTGCAAGAGTCTCATTCATTTTCAAAAGCCTTTAATTCAAATTATGAGCAGCGAACTGTGTTATGGAGAGCAGGTGAGACTTTTATTTTTATTTGATAAAAATGCTGAACAACACTTCTAGCTTTAAGTATCATGACACAACAGTGTGCCATGGCAATCACATCTGGAGTTTATTGGACAGTCACATGCTTTTATTGCTTGTCTCCTACCTGATGACTTGAGTAACTCTGCTTGCTAAATTATCTGCTTTTTTTTTATTAAAGTAGAGTTACACAGCTGATACTGCTGTAGTTAAGTATGTTTATAAATAAATCAGAAGACACTCTAAACCAAGGAGGAGGAAATACTATCTGGACAATAAAATATTGCTYGTCACTAGAGCAGGTATTGTTGATAACATTTTTATTGGCTGCTAACACCAGCTGTGGATGTTCCCTCTCTCCCTGTGTGGGGCTGATTTCCAGGCTTCAAGGGCAAATCCAAGCCCAACCTGCTGAAACAAGAGACCAGCAGCCTGGCGTGCTGCCTGCGGATCCTGTTCCGCATGGACGCGGACGAGCGGCGGCGCGAGGCGTGGGGCGCGGTGCAGCAGCGGCTGCTCAGGTGGGACAGCCCTGCTGGGGCTCTGCGGGCAGGGGAGTGTGGCCAGTCCTTCCTCAAAGTTCATGCAGCACTGAGGAAGCAATCTGCCCACAACAGATGAAGCATCTTCTTGCCTGAGATAAGCTTTTCYCATAGAAGTGGTGGTCTGAATAGTTTTCCCATCTGAGTACGCAGTGATAGAGGTAGAATAGGATACACTAATGAAGAAGAGTGCAGTATAAGCTGCTATACACCTGGAATTTAAACAAATGAGGAAAATAATGCTAAATAAATATTAAAATGTATATGGGTGATTTGGTACATAAAAGTTCGAAGTTCAAAGTGGTACAGTTTGCACCTTGTGTTGACAAAGTGCAGCAGGGACTGAAAATTGATTATTACAGTAATACTTCTTCCTTAATCTGTTAATAATTCTTCCTTAATCAGATGCTGAGCTCTGCAGATCTTTATTAAACCCATCCAAATTTGGAGGGAGAGCTCTCTCACGATGCTGTTGCCTAAGCTGTCCCAATGTCAGRGTCAGGAAATAATGTTTGCAGGTTGAAAGTGACAGCACTTCAATTACAAAATGTTTATGAGGCAGATTAGACTTTTCCAACTCTGTCTCCATGGTTCTCTGTTGCCAGCATAAAAAATATTTCAATTCAGTTACCTGAAACAATTCCTGTACCAGAAAAAGCAAATTTGTGTAGGTAAAGTTGTTGACTGAAAACTTCCCATGGAAGTGCATCTTGCTTGAAAACAAAATACACTGAGAGGACAAACAGAGCGTGTAATCAAGAACTTTGTAAAGGTTTTTCTTTATGGTTTGTGTGAACTGTGCTATCTCTCCAGTGTGTGCAGTGAAGCCCTGGCCTATTTTATTACTGTCAACTCAGAAAGCCACAGAGAAGCCTGGACCAATCTTCTGCTGTTGCTTTTAACAAAAACACTAAAAATCAGTGATGATAAGGTAAGAGGGGGCTCGAAGTCATGTCTGCATTGGGGTTTTCTTTTTTCATTCCTGCTTCAGTCGGATTTCAGTCTGGGTTGGAGGTGGGAGGTTCCTCAGAGCGAGTGCTCTCCTTGCAATTCCACTGCAGGCATTCTGCATTGTGGCACTGGGGCTGCATCCATGCAATTCTCAGCTGTGGGAATGTGGATAGAATTACTGAACAGGTTTCATATAAAAGCACACTGAGTGTGCAGTCAGGGGTAGGCTTACGCTGTGTTATGGTTGCACAGGAATGGTAAGGGTGAGCTTCACCACAGCAACATTGGAATTTCAGTTCCTTCACAGTGATGGCAAAAATAATTTTCAGGATCTTGGCCCTCTTGAGGAAAAGGGAATGCAAATATTAATGTTGCTACAAATAGTCCCTGATAGCACCGCTAGGCTGAGAAGTCCCTCAGCCACCAAAATCTCAGCTTAAGGAGTAACAGCAAAGGCAGGCTCTGTGAGCACCACTGCTGCTGCTGCTGCTGCAGAGCACTGGGGTCGGTGCCTTGGGCTGTTGGGAGGCCTGGGGTGAGACCGGAGGTGCTTTAACAAGTTGGTGTAGCCATGAATGTGTCAAAGCTTGGCATTTTCCTCCAGCCATAGAGGATGACACAGTGTTGTTGTCTGTTGGCAGTTCAGGGCACACGCTTCCACCTATTACCCGTACCTGTGTGAGMTCATGCAGTTCGACCTGATCCCGGAGCTGCGCGCCGTGCTGCGCAAGTTCTTCCTGCGCATTGGGCTGGTGTTCAACATCTGCATCCTGCAGCAGCAGCCACGGACAACTGGGCTGAGCCTGCCTTCCTGCTAGCTCCTAGTGAGACCTTTGCACTGGCCTGGACATAAAGCTGTGCCCAGAGATGGATTGAAGTGGATGGGAAAAACGGGATGCTGGTGTATCACCCCAGGAGCAAGTCATTCTTACCACAATGGCATTCGGGAATGAGGAAAATAATCCTGTTTTGTCCATCCTACAGAAGTGTCCGCAGTTTTATTTAAGTTATTGCTTACAGAGTCAGTACAGTAGGTGTGCAGTATCTTTGTTTTGTTGCTAATCATCTGTGTGATCCAGTGTGTCTCTTCTAGTCTTTTATCCACTGCTCASTTTTGCATCCCAGCTAGAGCTGATAAATTAGCTGGATCTCTCCRCAGAAATGATGCCCCTTGGAAATAATGACTATATTGTGTAGCCTTGTGATGTTGGCACATGTTCATAATAAACTCGACTGCAGTGGCCAATGGCCACCTGAGATCCCTCTGGGTTTTCCTTTGTGTCCAGGACCAGGCCAGGCAGGGCATCGGGCTCTTGAGGTGGACTGTAGAATATTTGGAGAAGGTTTTCTTCCTGTTGATTTWAAAAAAAAATTAATATCAGTACTGCATCTTCTGAGACTTAGTTTTAGTTTTACAGAAGATTTTACATCAGGAGCATAAATAGCATCTACTCCCTTTAGCTTTTTAGGCTAGAGTTAAAGGCATTTAAGAAAAGGCTTTCCTTTTCCTTTCATACACTGGCAGATCATGGACAGAGCATACACAGGAACATCAAAATCGAGGCTCAGAACAAATAAAACCACCTTTTTAACCCTTTAATATAATGTATTTAGCAGCAATTGTGACTGTTAAGCAATAAGTCCTGTCCTTAACACAAGTTTGTCTCATTTTACTTTAGATCTACAACTTCTGTCATTTTGTGCAAATGATTTTTTTCCTCAACTGTTGGTTCCTGTTGGGATCCACAAAAGCCTGAATTTCCAAAAAACTGCTTTAGCAAAATTAAACAAGTTCATCCATGTGCTAAGTTACTAACATGATTCTGTGCTTTGAAGGTACCTGTGAAATGTGACATTACACCACAGCTTTGCCTGCCCAAGAGTTTTCTTTCCTTGAACTGCATCAGGTTTCTGTGACAATGTTTCCATGTCAGAATACTATATTGACCTTTGAAATAATTTTAAATTTCAAGTTTCAAGACTTCTCTAAATCATGAAAGTGTGGCAGGATGGGAGGAGAGGCTTCCAAAAATATTGCAAACAAAGTGTTACGTTAACTGCTATGCTATCCAAGTAGCAAACTTGAAATATTAACAATACTTAAAGAAAAAAAACCAAACTGACAAAGAGTAAAACAACCTACTTACTTGAATGGAACTAAGTGTATAACCTTATAATTTTGGTTTTTGAGTTGAGTTTCCTGGTAGGATGGCCTCAGGTGAGATTGTGTTGGGATACACTGCTCTGGGCTGCTGGGAATGCACAGTCTTTGGGGTGTTGTTTTGGTTGCTGTTTGTTTTTTTGGTTGGTTGGTTTGTTTTTTCATGATCTGTTTTCAAGGGGTTTTTATGGTGCTCCTCAGTACATCGGCTTGTGCTATGTAAACATTGTTTTGGAAAGGTTTTGCAGTCAGCAGTAGTGATAAGGATTTCAACATTTATTTTTTCCACTGTATTTTTAACCAAAGAAAAATAAGTGGTGGTTGTGGCTCTTTGATTTTTAAATGCCTATTAGGTTAAATCTATACACTGCTATTTAGCTGAAGGGAATATATGTCTACATATGACAATAGGAGAAGAGTGGAAAATAAGCAGTGCTGGTATTTAACTTGCTGCATTTGAAATTTCCTTTTGTGTTGTATCTTGGGTAGCTGCTCATTCCCTGGAAGTGTCACTGCATCAGTTACTGCAGAAAATGAAGTATTTATTTTAATTCTATTTAAATCTCTAAGAATATGCTGTTCTTTTCTTTGGGTTGTAGGTAGTCGTAAGAAAAATAATCGAACCATTATTTTCAGATTTGGAATGTGTCACTGCCTCACGGAATGTATTCCCTCGTGGCCCAGCTGCATGTTTCTCTGTGTGTCAYAGGTTTAAAAGCCCTTCAGTCATGTCTGGAAACAAGTCTCAATTCTGAGACCTTAAATGACTTCACAGTTGCTTCATGGGCTTTCTTTGCTGTGAGGGGAAGCATTTGGACTCTGCACACAGCATAAAGATGTTTAATCCATGCTTCCCTTGGTCTGGGATGTTCTTTTCCCTAAGCTTTTGTTGTATTTATCCCRGTTACAAACTGCTGGAGCTGGGTATGAGATACCCAACCCTCCCAGAGTCTGCAGCGCATGAAGGAGSAGGGGACTGGAATTGGGCACTGTCAGAGCCCTCCTCGTGTCCCGTTTCTGCTGCTGGGGCGCTTGTCCCACCAGAGGAACAATCGGGCTGTGTTCCCGTTGTGTCCGCAGCACCTGCTGATTTTCCTCAGCAAGAGCAGAACCCTGGGGCACCAGCGAGGCTCAGCCCATCCTGGAGCGGTCCCAGCTCGTTCCTTGTCCCCGCTGCCCTGGCCCGGGGTTTGTTTGCTCTGCTGGAGCCAGCGCTGCCTGCAGACAGGACTGTGCAGCTGGAACTGTTCTGCCCTGTAATGGAATAAATAATGCACAGTCCGTGGGATTTRTTGTTACGTGTCATTTCAGACCTCCCGAGAGAAGGGACGGGGAGAAAATGCTGATGAGGAAATCCCTAAACCCTCCCTTTCGTCGTGATTAAAACTCCCTTCGTGTTGCTTCTGTTGTGTCTTACAGTCCAGGAAACGGTTGTTTTTACAGCAGTTTGTTATCCGTGTCTGGTATCTCACTTTCCAGAGTGTAAACAGAACAGTCTAAAGCAATGTTCACTACGACAACCGACAACCCCCACATTTTAGCTCAGTTTTACTATTTAGGAGAAAGGTTAAAATGAGTAGCTCTGTCAAAAGTGCATCTTCCTTTAATCTGTATCTAAATTGTTCAGCACCTTTGTTTAAAATGTAATTTTTCACATATTGAAAATGCCTGAATTTTAATATCTCCATATTAAGTGCATTTACTATCAATAATTTAAAGACCATTCCTTGCCAATGGATGTATAGAGTTCTGAAATAATACCAAAATTATATAATATGATAAACTGTGTAAAGTTTTCTACATGAAGATACGATGTATAATAGTTATAATATTCCATGCTTTAATCAAGTGATAATAAAATTTTACGAAGCGTTGCTCTTTTGCTCAGGTACTTCCTAAAGCGGCCCAAAGACTGCGGCGCCTCTGGGGCTTCTCTGCGGGATCGGGGGTTCTGGCGGGTGTTTAATACCCAGCGAGGGTGGCACTGCGCCGGGGGCCGGGCCCCTTCCCTGGCACTCAACAGGCTCCGGTCCCTCCCGGTTCCTCCCGCCGTTCTCCGCCCCTCTCCCGCCCCTCTCCTGGTCTCTCCCCTCTCCCCTCTCCTCTCCCCTCAGCCGCCGTTCTGCGCCGTTCCGGGGCGGGCCGAGCCCTTGGCGGCAGCGCGGGGCTCTGTGGGCAGGKCCCGCCCATTGGCCACCGCCGAGTGAGCGCGGCGCGGATTGGCTGCCGCCGGCGCGCCCTGGCCGGCGCGGCCGCTGATTGGCCGAGCGGCGGCGCGGAGTCCCCGCCCCGCGCGATGCGGTCACGGAGCCGCCGCCGCGCCCTCGCCCGGCGGTTTGAATGTGAAGCGCAGCCGGAGCGCTCGGAGCCGCCGCCGCTGCCGCCGCTGCCGGGAGCCGCTCGGTAAGGCCGGGACGCGCTGCCCCGCACGGCGCTGGGGTTGCGGGGCCCCGTGCACCGGCGATCCCGCCGCCGCCCCTTCGCCACCTGGGCGGCGCGCTCGGCGCTGGGCCCGCGGGCGTCCCCAGGCGCGGCGCACCGTGCTGGGCCCTCCGCCCGCCTCCCGCCGCTCGCCATTGGTGCGGGGCCGCCGGGCCTGCGCTGCCCGCGCCCGTCATTCGCCGCGGCCGCTGCCAGTCTGGGCCGCCGCTGCGGCGCGGGGGGGGCCGAGTGAGTTGGTGTGAGGGCTCTGGGCCGCTCGGGATCTCGCCCGGCCCGGGCAGCGCTGATCCTCGGGCGGGTGAACAGCCTGGCGGGGCCGCTGGGGCCGCGGAGCGCGGGAGGGCCCGGCTGGAGAGGCGCGGCCTTGTCCCGCTGTGCGCGGGGTTCGGCCCGCTCCGCTCCCGGTTCCGCTCCCGGWTCCGCCTCCCCGGCCCTGCTGCACCGGCCCCGGTGCGGGGCGGCGGGAGCTGCCCGGGTGGGGATCCCCAGCAGTGTCAGCGGGGTCCTTCCCGGCACATCGGGCCCTGGACATTCTCCGGCACGTGGGAGGTGTTGGGGCASTGCTGGCTGAGGGGACGGACTTGGGTAAAGCTCTTCCGCTCCGAGCCCCGGAGGCACGGCCGCCTTCTGCATGGGTTTATGTTTGTTCTCCGTGAGCGATTTGTATTTATTTGACTACAGTAGGTGATGTATTAAGCACTTTTTTGGTTTTCGGAGGCCTTTAGTGCAGCCACGTTACAACACAACACAGAGCATCATATCACTTTAGCTAAAGTACCACCAGTTATTTTTTTGTACTGGAAAACAATACGGAAAGAGAAGGAAATAAGCATATATAGGTGACAGGTCAAAATATGTTGGTGGATGTGAGTTGGTGAACAAGATTATGGACAAGTAAACTCCAAAAGCAAAGGGAAACATAGGAGGCATGACTCTTCACATAGATTTTGACTTCTTGCATAATATGTTAGGATCTGAATTGCTTGTTAACATTAATTCAAGAGGATACTGCTGCTGTCTTTTTAAGTGATGTAGATGCCTTAGCTGACACAAAAATTGTGTCAATAAAGCTCACTGCCTGTGCGAGCATGCTTGAATAAAACCATGTTTAGTGCACYGATGATCAGCATGAAACAACTCCAAAGTGTGACAGGTCAATCGTACTAAATAGAAACTCCAGAGAAAAAAWGGAAATCTTTGCTTCCCCATAACCTCTGTAGGGAGGGAGCTGTGCTACTGGTGGTAAGAAGGATGGGCAGGAATTATGATGATGTCCAGAGGAACATCTCCATTAAAGCACATCGTATTGTTGTAGTGTTGCTGTAATTTTAATTACTTCAATGCAAGCTGTGAAGTAAATACGTAACTGGTACAGATAAGAATGTGTGTGMGAGGATTACTAGAGAGGAGCAATATAGACTTACTGCTCAGAGTTATTCTGTAATAAGTATTGCATTTATATTAGCTTCCACCCTAGTCTGAACTCATTTTACAGGGAGGACAAACTGGCTGGCTTTGCACAGTCTTTTGTCTCTTTCTAAAAAAATACTTTCTTTTGGTATTTTTCTTTGATAAGGAGTATTTGATTTTTTAGAAAAGCCTTGACTCTTCAACACACTTTGAATTGTTTTATTTACAGTTATGTTGGGTCTGACAGTACAGCTTTTTCCATCAGGAGCAATTTCTGGGGCTGACAGGAGTTCTCAAAAGCAGAACCAAATTCCTCTTGTCCTGAACGGGCAGGAGATCATCTTTTGGTTCATGTTTGCTGGATATGTGAGCTTTTTGTGGAGTTTTGGGTCCTTAAACCAGACAGCAGCAGTTACCTGTAGCTTGACAAGTGAAGAATTTCCTGTATGTGGTGCACCCCAGTTGGGACTGTGCTTGTGAGAAATTGTGGAAAAGAACTGATGTTGCTTCTGTGGGATCTGGTTTTGTTTGTGTAGCTTTAGGATAGATGTTCTCATCTCTGGTTGTAACAAAACTACTTGTGGGTTTTAGGTTCTGCCAAAATGGAGCTCAGTGATGCCAATTTACAAACTTTAACTGAGTATCTAAAGAAAACACTAGATCCAGATCCTGCTATAAGGCGTCCTGGTAAGTGATTCTTGTGAGTGAGAACAAAAAAGTTCCRTTTCTTTTAGGCTCCTCTGTGTAGCAAACTTTCAGTGGATATTTATGCAATAACTTTGCAGAGGTTCTCAGTATCCTTTTAAAATGAAACACCCAAAACTAATGAAGGATGGGTATAAATATAAATAACTTTGTCTGCTTTTTGTGATTTTATTTTTCTGTATTCTTGATTTTATTTATTGCACTGTTGTTATTTTAAACAGTGCTGCTCTTCACAACAAGCCAGGATTTACTTCTCTCAGGCCATGGCTTTTCCAAGGGTGAGGAGGCAGTATCTCCCCATCCTGCTGGTGATCTGAGAGCTGGTTTTGACAGTAGGAGCATTGAAGAGCTCAGGAACAAAGGAGCTGTGATACCTTTTGTGAGACTTGTTCCTGTGAAGCTCTGGGGAAGTGTTTATGTGTTGGTATTTTAAACAGACCCTTGAGAAATGGTAGGATTCCCTTTAGAGAAAGGAGTTCAGCTTTGGCTAACCTCAGTATATTCTCTTGCAGCGGAAAAGTTCCTTGAATCTGTGGAAGGAAGCCAGAACTATCCACTCTTACTCTTAACGCTGCTGGAGAAATCACAGGAAAGTGTCATCAAAGTTTGTGCATCTGTAACGTTCAAGAATTATATTAAAAGGAACTGGAGAATTGTAAGTATCCTCGTGAGCAATTGTATTAAGACTTAATCATCCTTTTAAGGCACAGGAAGGTATTCTTCAGTAGCCCTGAGCAATGTGTGTGTTTGTTCTCTGGGAAATGGAGTCAGTCATTTGGAGAACAAACTCAAGGTGTAACTTACTCATGAAACATTTTACCATTACATTTTAGCTGGTACCTATTTTCGAAATGGGATGTGATTTCTGCCCTTTCCCTCACGCTGATATTGAGGAGTTGTAGCAGTCCTGGGTCTGGTTTAGTTCAAGAACAGCAGCACATTCAGCCTGGCCTRACACACCTAGCACCTTGTTGCTGTGGTGCTGTGTTTTTAGTCATTTCTCCCAAACTGCGTCTTTCGTGGTGTGTTGGAAGTAGAAATAGTGTTCTGTTATAGAAAAAGTTGTGAGTGGAAAAGGATTAAATGTGGGAATTTCATTGCCATGTGCACYCACCCTCASTGCTGCTCAATTGCTGACCTGAAAAGTCACCCCTAGGGAAGGCAAAAAAAACTACTTTGAAGTTTTGCAGAAAGACATGATTTCAGATCCTGCTGTGCCAGGTTCATTGAAGGCAGTGTCTCTTAGGTTCTTCAGCAATGAAATAGCTACATAAATCAGTATAAGCAATTGGTTTTTGAAAAGCTGATCATCATTCATTGCCTAGAGAATACTGATATGACCATAACTTAATTATTGTTTTCWTTTTAGGTTGAGGATGAACCAAACAAAATATGTGAATCGGACAGAATAGCCATTAAAGCCAACATAGTGCCCTTGATGCTTAGCAGCCCAGAACAAATTCAAAAGCAGGTAATATGTCATTCCTGGTTGTATCCATGAAACTTTGGGAATATTCTAAGCATGTCTAGAGGCTATGGTTATTGGCAGAGCTCAGTTCTCTTTCCAGTGAGCTCATCCTGATCCAAATGACTTCGAGGATATTTCTACCTACTTTGACATTTTAAAAGGATAATTGCTGTATAGTCTTACAGCAAAGTTCTAGCATTAGGGAGTTAAACAGAAATTCTAGAAAGTGAGAATGTGTGTACACATTGAACTTAAGGTGAGATTTTTGTGGAAGATATTTAACCCAGTGATTTTTGCATCTGCCAAGAGTAACCAGCATTTTCTTGGATGTTTGCAGCATTTGGCATGACTGCTGTGTGCTGTTGTGTCACATAATGGTTCCATTTCCTTTGCAGTTRAGTGATGCCATCAGTATTATTGGGCGGGAAGACTTCCCTCAGAAGTGGCCAGACTTGCTGACAGAAATGGTGAATCGCTTTCAGAGTGGAGATTTCCACGTCATCAATGGGGTTCTTCGCACTGCCCACTCTTTATTTAAAAGGTACTGGAGATAAGGAAGCTTGGGTATAGATTGGGTATAGATTTTGTGTATAGATACTGAAATTTCTGTTCAGCTGGCATGTTTTACTGGTAGAGTTAATTTTGGAGATTTACAATCTCTATAGTTGTCACTTCTACTAATGTCTTTAAGTAGCTATCAAATYGTACACCTTGCACCATTTTGAAGTAYGTTGTTTAGTTCTTGTATACTTGACAGTATTTGTTACAAGGTCCAGCAAAAYCCAAAATTCTATGTGAGTTAATTTGGTAATATGTGTGAAGACTATATTCTATTTTTCATGTGTTTCTCTCTTACTTGTCAGGTACCGCCATGAATTTAAGTCAAATGAATTATGGACAGAGATCAAACTTGTGCTTGATGCCTTTGCTTTACCCCTGACAAATCTCTTYAAGGTATTTCTAAAACAAGTTTAATGTTCTGAATATCTTTTTGTGGATACCTGTAAAATTCAAACAAAAGAATTGTTGTCTGAAATTGTTTAAGGGGTTCAAATTCAAGTCATGAAGTGAGATCTAACAAGATCGCTAAGAGGAAGAAAAATAACTGTATTTTCTGGTTTWAAAAAAAAAATCCATGACACTTTTCAGTATTTTTTGTTGGTGTGGGTTTTGTACTTGACAATCTTGTATCTTTTTCTAGGCAACTATTGAACTTTGCAGCACACATGCAAATGATGCCAGTGCCCTGAAGGTTCTTTTTTCTTCTCTCATTCTCATYGCAAAGCTGTTCTACAGTTTAAATTTTCAGGTGAATCTTCTTGTTCTTGGGATAGTTTGTTCTGATGAAGCTGTTACTATAGAATTAATTGAGGCAGCCTTTAATGCTGTGCTTTATGGCAAAAGAAAAATCAACAGTGCATCTACTGGAGTAAAAGCACAGTAAGGACAGATTATTCAAGACATTTCCTTGGCCCTATGGAAACTCAAATTCAAGGGAGTCTRAGCTGGTGTTGCTTCAAGGAGATGTTTTATGGGGCCTCTGGGTAGGAGCTGGGAAAGGCAGGAGTCCAATAATGCCTGAGTTTCTATTCACTGTGCCCCTTTATTMATGTGTCTGTAGTGATGGGAGCTTGGTCATGTAGGTAAAGTTCATTATGTGTAGTAGCTSTGTAGCACAGTAGGAGCAAGTCATTCTGGGAGCAGTAACCCACACTGCATTATGGAAAATGGTGAAAAGCTCCTTTGCTGAGGTGRCATCTATTTAGTGTCTCAATGTGAACATGTGAAGTGTGATTGTGATTGTGCCTGGATTCCTTGGGCTGTTCTTCCATAGGGGCAGAAGAACAAGCTGGAGTTAAAAGAGACTTGTGCTCTCCTGTTCTGAGAGTAGGAGGTGGTCAGGCTCATTCCTTGTAAGAATTGAGCTGTTTAGGGTAAAACAACTGGTTTATTTGGAGCTAGTTGAGTTCCGGGGCTTTGCCAGGACAGGTTTTGTTTGGGAGAAGGAAGGGGCACTGTTTCAATTTGAAGATTGTTTTCCACAGGTTATTGTCCCTGTTACTCAGAAGGTGAATGTCCTGCTTCCAGTGTAGGGATGTTATCTAAGCAGTGTAATYAGAAACTATAATGTAGATTTATACTTTTCCTTCACAGGATCTTCCTGAATTTTTTGAAGATAATATGGAAACGTGGATGACAAATTTTCATAGCCTTTTAACTTTAGATAATAAACTCCTGCAGACTGATGTAAGTACTGCATAAACCTCCTGGTTTGCATCTGTGGGGACGAGGGTGGACTGACAACTTAGGTCTGACTCTGAACAATACAGTGGGGTTTTTGTGGGCCAAACAAAGGAATAGAATGACTAATGAAATGGAGTTTACAGAGCTTGTTCTGCTGTCTTAAGGAATCTGAAGTTCAGTTCTTAATGTTGTATGACAGTTAGAGGTATACCCAGCTGCTAATTACTAATACTCATCACTGAGTTGATTCTTTCAAGAGCAGCTGCTGAACTAAACTGACCATTGGCATCACAGGGCTCAGGTTTTCTTTCACTTGGTTCATGTGCAGTGTTCTAAACAGGATCTCTTAATGAACTCAAAGTTGAAAATAGAGGGCAGGACATCTCTAAGTACTTCAGTGTTTGCTGTCTTTGTCCAGTTAAAGAGTCATTCATGTCACTGGTGAAAGCTGATACCAGGTCAGCAAAGCTCCAGTTATTTTTGTGCAGGCTTTCTGCATTTTAAGTGCTGTCTTCCTGATACAGCACAATAGTTTGCCATTTGATGGAGACATGAGAGGAATTTCTTTCACCTGTTTTGAATATGGTAAAACAAGTSATGTAAATATTTCACTTAAATACATTGATACTTCTAATGTTTAAGTAGTGTTGAAGTTTGGATGTTTAAGTTCTTAGTTTCATTTTATGTGAGGATGAAGAGGAAGCTGGATTGCTGGAGCTCTTGAAATCACAAATTTGTGATAATGCTGCTTTATATGCTCAAAAATATGATGAAGAATTCCAGCCCTACCTGCCACGTTTTGTAACAGCAATCTGGAATCTGTTAGTCACRACAGGCCAGGAAGTGAAGTATGACTTGGTGAGTTGTTATAATCTGATCTTGTCAAGTTTATTAATAAATTATAAATTGATCAGTCATACTAAAGCTTTGTGTTCTGTTTGTGGTACTGTAGCTGGTCAGCAATGCAATCCAGTTTCTGGCCTCAGTTTGTGAGAGACCACATTACAAGCATCTGTTTGAAGATCAGAATACAYTGACAAGCATCTGTGAAAAAGTTATTGTTCCCAATATGGAATTTAGAGGTAACTTCTTTGTRACTTAAGTTTTCAAAAACACTGCAAAAATCTAACTAATTATAATCACATGTTGCTTTGCAGGACCAAGAATKGAGGGTTCCCTCTTGTGTACCTTAGTGTTAGATTCAAACCCAAGTTTCTGCAGCAGACTGCTATCCTGTGGGCTTTGTAGAATTATATGAATATACTTAACTTTTCACCTTGAAATCCCARTGGAGGAAGGTCATGTGCTACCAATAAATTTCCACACTTAAAATTAGTATCTGAAAAATTCAAGGAGCCTAAATAGGCAGGAATATCAGGTCTACCAAATTGTATTTTTTAATTCTTTAAGTTTTGTTGGACTCACTGATCCTAGTATTTAAAATGCAGTGAAAATATATTGCAGTGGTAAGCAGCTTCTTTCTCTTAAGTCTGTGACTCTGAAAGTCTCTTCAAATACACCTGGTGTTGAATATGTGTTAGAGGTTTTTCTTTGAATCAATATATCAGCCCGTGGGTACGAAAGACTAATTTGTGGGACAGAAGCTAAACAGACTAGTCTGGCTGGATATTTCTGATTAATTTCTATTAATGTTATAGAAAAGTTCTTGAAAAAAATAGCAAGTTGGTAGTGATACACCCTTTTATCATAAAAACCAGAGACCTCAGTATTTAAACTTCYATGTATTTTATATTTTCAGCGGCTGATGAAGAAGCGTTTGAAGATAATTCTGAAGAATATATTAGAAGAGATTTGGAAGGATCTGGTAATCCACAGATTTATACTAGGAATACTTGGTCTTTAAATGTAGCTCTAAGGAGCTGAAGGAATTTACTGAACCTTTTATAACTTCATTTTGAAATGGAGGTTTTCACACACCACCCCCAGCTGGATTTTATCCAGTCTGTGATGAAGTCTACTGTCACGATATGCTCGTCACAGTGTCTGTCTGTTTTGAACAATATTTTTATAGGGCTTTTTCCTTAACTGGATTGGTATGTCTTCTACATTGCCCACATTCTCATTTCTGCAAATACACTCTGTAAGTCAATGCTGAGTAGTAGCCAGAGGGGTATTTATTTCCTGTGTGTGGAGTTTCAAGTAACAGGGAGAGACTCTTCTGTTCAAACTGAAATTCTGCCTGGGGTTGCATACAAACTGCTTGGGCCAGCCAGGCAGCAGGCAGCCTTGGCCATGGCGTGTGTTAGAGCAGTGACTGCTCTGGGACAGGGCTGTGCTGGCCCAGCTGCTTGGAGTGCTGAGGGAGACTGTGCTTCAGCAGCAGCCAAACGCTGGCCATTCCCAGCAGCTTTAGTTGCTGCTACARAACACTGCACAGTATGGGCCACAGGGAGAGAATGAGCTCCCTCCCAGCTACACCCTGTACATTTGAGTGCATGATGTCAAGCCAGTAGCAGCCCCCCTGCATTTCTGCTGCCACTGCTCAGGGACAGGTGTCCCTTCTTGCTGTACAAGTGGTCCTGTTGTGACAGTAAAGAAAAGGCTTACATGTGTTCTTACACATCAGCGTGGAGGATTGCAATAAGTAACATGGGGTTAACATGGCTGTAACTCGAGAAGCTGTCTTACTGTTTTGATTATTATGTTTACTAATGTCAAAAGCTGTAGGCTTTTTCATATCCAAAGAATTTTTGGTTCTCGTGCAGATATTGACACCCGGCGCAGAGCAGCGTGTGATCTAGTCAGAGGCTTATGCAAATTTTTTGAAGGACCYGTGACAGGGATTTTTTCTGGCTATGTTAATTCTATGCTGCAAGAATATGCAAAGAATCCATCTGTTAACTGGAAGCACAAAGATGCAGCTATTTACCTTGTAACCTCTTTGGCATCCAAAGCTCAAACACAGAAGGTACTTTTCCATTCTATTCATGTAATCTATTCAGCTATTACAGTTGTATCTGAGCTCAGGTAGATGGGGCACAGTGTGACCACATGGCAGGCCTAAATGGCATGTGGGATCCAGCCAAACAAACTAAACTGGCCTGGCTCTGGAGCCTCTGAGCTCTGGGMTGTCCTGAGGCAGTCTGGAAGCCATGGAAGGCAAATAGAGCTTTACACAAGGATCAGATTTGTTAAGCAGACTAAAAGGAATTTAAATGACTCTTKGAGTTCTTGTCATGGTATTTCCCAATRTTTCCTGCTAYTTGAATGTTTGGTTTATAAATGACATGTGAATGCTAATGATGATTGGAAATAGATCTCATTACTTGTTTGGGAGAAAGCACCTGAGTGTTTCAGGCAGGAGACACTGAAGAACCAGGGTGGGCTGACCTGTATTTGGAAACAGAAGCATTGTGTCCTATGTCATATGGGTCAAGTTTAGGTATACTGCTAGATATTTTAAATGCTGTTGAAGTTCAGATCTCRGCGTCTTTACAAGACAGATTTGAGRCAAACAYAGTAAAACATGTACAGCATTTTATGCAGTTTTGCTGATTGTTCTCAGTCTTTTTCTGAAGCCAGGTGGGTATTGCTGCCCAGCAGTTGTTACTAATAGTGATGCCATAATAGTGATGTGTAATGAGAATCCATCTGGTAGCAGTTGGGCAAATGCAAGAAAAAGCAAATATCRACTAACTCAGAACACTCCATTGAAAAATCTCCATCTAAAAATTGTGGTTTAAAAAGAGGTTGCATTTTTTTGTAAGGGAAAACTAAGTAGTCATTACTTAAAATGAGTAAGAAAACTAGTAGTTKATATGCC